ATTAACCCTAAAAGCCAAATGCTACATGCTGTCCACACAAAGTGACGTTTTTGGCTTATGTGTTTGATGTAGCTGCTTTATGTTGTTTATGTGTTGTACTCAGTGACAAAACTTTGAACTAAGCAAATCCCTGACTCCTACAACACTCAGCAAGTCCTTGAGGATCCTCAGAGAGTGGCACCACACCTGGCGATTCGGGTGGCCTGCTGCACGGTCGATCGCATGCCCTGCCGCTACAGGGCGGTGACTGTCGCTACATGTTAATCAACGTCCGGGGCACTGAGCGAGGGCCAGGGTGTGTGGCCACGTGGCGGGTGAGGCAAAATCCGGGCCAGGGCCTAGCTGCTACCCTTGACTCACTTTGTTGATGGGAGTGCTACTTGCTTCACCTTGGCGTTTCCACACCGAAGAAACGCAGCTGATCGTCTCACACATCACTTGAAACGGCACTGACACAGAGCGATGTTTCCCCGGTGACTGGTGGGAGCCGGGGTGTTCGGTCCGAGAGATGCGGCTCGTTGGCTCGGTGATGAAAGGGGCCTCGATGCGGGCAGACATATTTTTGGAGTTCAAGTTGTGATACCATGATTTGCTTGCCCCATATATAGATCTTCCAACTAATCAAACCATGTGTGCCCTTTTGGGGGGGAAAAGGCGGACCTTTTTCACAGTTGGACAATTTAGGTATTTGTTCCATGCTCTGACACGTTTTGAACAGGAGCCCAACCTGGGCGAACATGATGACACCTGATTATTATAGGTTAGATTCACCCAGACTCCTTCACAAATCTGACCCCAACATACCACACAGCTTGTAGCCGTTGTAGCCCTGCGTGGAACCGTTCCAGCTCCAGGCCACCCATCTTGGTGGTCCTGACAGTCCCCGTGGGGTGATTTGCATGGGCCAGGACAAGACGGGCGACGTAAGGGTGTTGAAAAAACGCAGGCTGAAGCCATTCAAGCCATGCGGCACCCTTTTCACATTTGTATCACCACGAGCGAGCTAGAACTCACGGCCCGTTGGAAATAAATCATTTGAAGAAAGTTCTTCAAAGCGGTGGCGTTGAAGCAGCTCGTAGAACATGCCGGGGCTCCCAATTGAACATTCAACAATTCACATGGTCGAACAATGTCGAACATACATCAGTTCGGAGGGCGGGTTCGAAGTCAACACGTTTTCTTTGCCAAAGGGGTTTGTGGGAGGTTGTGAGGTTGCGCCAACGTTTATTGACTTCTAGGGTCTTCTCGGGTGTTCCACGGTTTCCCGGCCTGCTGTTCACAGGACATGACCGAAAGCCAACAGCTGCTGACGCAGTGCTCCGGACAGCGTGTGTTTCACGTGACGGGCTTTTGGAGTCCTATGGAGGGTCCATCCCACACACTCCATGGCATCTCATGCGCTCCATGATCGGATTTTACCTATATACATATACCCATGTTGTGTTTCGATGTGTTTAAACATGCATTTATCAATTTATGTATTATCTATCGATCTATCCATCGGCTGATCTACCAAGACCAATGCAGATGCATAACGTGAAACCACCCCTGGAAGAAGGAAAATAGACCAACATCCATTGTTCTCCCGGGGTCTCCCTATTAAGACACACACCATCCCTGCCCATCAGGGAAAGTATTGATAGGGGGACTGTACGCCCGCCTCTCAATACACTGTGAGCAGACACCCTAAGCATGTTCGGATGGTTCTCCCGTCGTAGCATGACGATACAGATGTGCCCGAAAAAGATGCCGATGGGAAGGCTCAGCGAGAGAGAAGCTGGTTGCCAGGGGTTGCCCCACAAAGAAATAATGAAGACTCCTGATCTTGATCAATACAAGCACCCATATGAAGGATTATGAAGGGTTTTTTTGTAATCCACATGGGGGATTTGATAATTAATTGCCTTGCGACCAGATACTCGTCTTCGAGGTCCAACGTAGCGGAAGGTGCGGCAGGGCCAGACCCTTCAAAACCAAGGACCGTTTCGACCCCCTAGAGCCCTAAGAACCGCTCACGGTGTTGGAGGAAGAACCCGGGTTCTAGGGGGCTCATCATGCTCATCAAAGACCTTGTGCAGGTTATTTTGCATGGTTTTGCCGTAGTTGACCTGAACAAAGGGGTGTTATCGCACCGCCTTTTCAAGCATTTGGGGTTGGAAGAAACCCACAGTACTTAGGCTTAGTCTTCCACCTGTAAAACGTATTTGAGGATTGGTTCCCCCATGGATTCCCCACTTCGAAGAACGGCCAAAAGCCTAGATCGCTTCGTCCCTCGTCCGACGCACAGGGCCCCACGCCGGCCTCGAGGCATCGCTTGGTGGCGGAGGATCTGCGAAGCCTCGTGGAGACGGTCAACGCCTGGATCTTCGGCGTCGACGAAGCGGGTCGGGGCCCTCGCGGGGGAGAGAGAGAGAGATACGTTATTTTGTGGATCCATATCATTTGCTGCGTGTTCATCACATTGCGAACACAGGTGGCTATAGGCTTGAGCCTTTGAGAATCCGCCTGCAGGGAACCACGGAGAAGTTCGATCTCACATATACAACTACTTTTACAATCCTTTACAGCACCCGACGTCGTGTTTTTCGAGCAACTAGCATATTTCAGGTGTATTCTTCAATTTTCTTCCCATTTCCGGATGGTTGGACATGCTGATGGACGTCCAAAAGCAGCGCAAGGGCCCCTCTCCTGCTAGGAGAAATCAAACCCTAAACTTTAAACACAAGACGGTCGTTTTTTTCCGTTTTTTTTGGCATACAAGACAGCAACGCCCAGTTTTGCAGTGAAGAATTGGTTGCATACATTCAGAACCCAGAGGAATATCCGGTGCAAGACCGGTCATGAGACACCCGGCTTTTGCTGCATGTTTCGGTGTTCGAAGGTGCTGGTGCGGTTTGATGCAAGCGATAGAGGAGGGAAACCGGAAGAGACTTGCATTTGCCTTCAGGTTGCATCACCCTTTGGAACAGCAAGGCCTGCAGGAGAATGGGCATCTCTGAAAGGTGTGGCAGCAGAACACTGAACTATATAGTTACCGATAAACATTATATATATAATGTATATTTATATATATTGGTTATTGGTTGTAATATAACGTAATATATATAATATCTATGTTGTGATGTGTTTATATAGTGTATGTGTGGAAAGGAATTTGTGTATTTGATGAATTTTGAGGGGCGTGTGTTTATGTCTTACCCAAGGAGGGCCTGAGTTGGCGGAGCCAATGGCCTGGATGTTCCGGATTGGCCCTTTGTTATGTATATACGTATCCTTGAATTGAGGATACTTATATATATAGGGCCCTATTGCATGGACCATTTTTTGATCCACGGCTGCCGGTTGGCTCAGAGTTTGGTTTGGTGAAGCGAATATAAAGTACCTAACTTTAACTATACTACACCTCTGAGGTGAGCTAAAGAGCATGGTCCGCCATCTCACCATGCTGTTCAAAAGTTTCTTAATGTAACAATCGGATGTACTGGCATAAGATCAGTGAAACAAAATGACGAAGCGGCTATGATGAACTGGGGAAAAAGACTACGCAGTGCGCTAACACTTACTTGGAACCATGCCATGCCAAAGGGCCAGTTTCAACCAGAAAAGTATCACTTAGAGAGGGGCGTCCTTGTAGATTGATATGTATAAATATACTTCAAAAAATATATATAATGTATATAATGTTTAGGTAGGGTTCTTTCTTTAGGACTTTCCAGGGCCAATGCTCCTTGCTGCCCGTATTAGCCATGCAAGTTCAACCCTGAAAACCTTCGAAATGCCAGGCGGAGCGGATGACTTCCTACACGAAAAAGGTGCGGAAGCCCCCCCTGCGGAATCCTGCGAATCCCTGTGGGGTGGACACCCTGACTCAATGAAGTTGATAAAGAATCGAGTTTAAAAGGTCTGGTGGGGGAAAACAGGATGGGTTGGGAGTTTGGATCGGTTGAAGTGTTGAAAGATTGAAAGCGACCCATTGGAGATGTAATTACTTACTCCACCGGCTTCTCAATGGGTAAATAAGACCATTTCGATCTGAATGGACTGCCTTTCTGCGGCGCAATGCCACAAGTCGAATCACAATGAGACTTGTTGCGTTGGTCCACAATGGCTGACAGTCTATAGACCCCTTTTTGGACAGTAACAAGGCCGCCTACGGACATGTTACATGCACAAAGGTCGGTCTACAGCGGACACCAGATGCAATGAGGGCTTCCAACGACCCACAACTTTCAGCGTTTCATGGCAGCCTGGAGCTGCCGTTTGGCAAATGAAGAGCTTCATCCAACATGATCCAGCCATTAATTTGCTGCACTTCATAGTGATCCGGGAAGCTAAGCAAAGAACATCAAAGAACGATGTATATATACCTTTTCGAAGCGGCCCAACACCATCTAAAATCTGATTCCCGGTGTATGCTGACCGATCTCGCGCGTGATTTTGCCTGCCTTGCAGTTTGCCGATGTTTCAACTGTGATTGGCCTCTATGAATGGGATAAGACCCCCTTGAACCTCATGAACATTCAAGTTCCTGAATAGAAGTTGGTTGTGGCATGTTGTGGCATGTTCACCTATATTGGTTGTGGGTCGTATTACTGTACGACCGATGCATGACGTGGTCCAACCGATTGTCAGCTCCGGACGACGCACGACCAAGCTGTACATCCGAGTCGTTTTGGACAAATCCCAGTGGAAGTCAAGAGCCTCGCCATACATCACCAGCTACATCCAGAGATAGAGTAAGGTACATATATTTATTGTTAATAAGAAGTAGGTCTGCCCTTGGCATCCCCCCTTCAGAGAAAGATGAAGCAAGAACATGGAAGTCGAAGTGGCAATCATCGGACAACCTGGGCTCACCCAGCACACAGCAGGGCATACAATGTATACAATTTGTGGGTTCCCAAGCACGAAGTGGGTCTGTATTGTATAAAATTGGGGAAAGAAAGGGGAGACCTCCCAAAGACCCCTGGAAGAAGGGAAATAGACCAAAAGCCATGGTTGGTGGTCTCCCTCTTAAAAATAGACACCCAAGTAGATTTAAGTCCTGCCATGTCGTCCAAGACGCTTCAGGACTTGCAGGCACCACACACTTCGGCGGTGATACGGAACCATTTGTTGTCCAGCAAAATGGTGAAACATCCACTGGCACCCTTTGAGAGGGTGATCGGAGAAGGCTTGGAGGGTCCAAGTACCTTCTGAGAAGGTATGTGGCATCGTAGGGTTTGAAAGACTTCCAACTCCTTGGCCGTCATATCCTGGAAGAGTGTCACCCCAAAGCGAACAGATGCATCATGCCTGCTTGTCTTCAAGTGTGGTGTTAGGGAAGAGAGACCTGAACCCCCCCTGAATGGATCAAGATGTTGATGCTGGGAGATCTCTTTCTTGAGATTGCCGAAGACAGTTGTCCGTGGTAGCCAGTCCCGAGGTGAAGCTGCGCCACCGGAAGGTTCGGTGGTCCCCACCGAAGCAAAAGCATAGCCATCAACAAAGGACATGCGCCACAAATATACTGTAGCAAAAAAAAATGCTGGGAGATCAACACATGAGTTTGTTTCGAGACTGTGTTTTGTAAAATTCCCAGTTGCAAAGTCCAAAATAATTTTACAGCTGCAGTTAAAACAAAGACATCTTCGGTCCGGCCACACGGGCTCAGGACCCCGTTCTACATCAGCACGTCTTCATTTTCCTAATTTGAAACGGCAATCTGCGGGGCCTTACCATGCCTAACGCCAGTTCCCGGCCAGACCAGGTCGTCTTTTTTGTTCGACCGGGGAGACCCGACCGAGAAGTTCCCGGTCGGAAAGTATCAACTGGTCTCAGTGAGTCGCATGTGTATCACTTGGCCCCAAACAACTTGTGCAAGGTTCACCATTCACTGGTGGGCGTGTCTTCAAGAGGGGTCTCCCCCCCGAGACCGTTCTGGTCTTCGCCCCAAGGAAGCCTGGATCTCCCCTTTTCGCCCTGGCACCAGCGGAGCGGCCTGGCGGGTGCCCTCCCCAGGACGACGAGCTCCGGCCGGATGGCTCGCCGAGCCGGAGGTTTTCCCGCAGCTACACGCAGCCGCCGCATGGCGAAGGACGAAGGAAGGTCTTGAGTCTGCAGGGCTGGTCTTCTCCTGACATCAAGGAACACCCACCTATTGGCCACCGACTTTTGGTGATTTGGCTGTATGCATCCAGCAGTCAAGCTCTGAGTTGGTTGATGTAGGTGTAAGCACGCATGGGATTTTTGGTTGGGTGTGGTTGGGTGCTTTTGGGGGATCTGTTTTGGGCTCAGGCACAGATCCAACGCCATGGGTGGCTTGTAAGATCCCTTTGAGACATGGACAGGGCTTGCCACGTCACGAATGAAATGCGTGTACCCAGAGCTTCCAACTACGTGCGTAAGCCTAAGAACCTCTAGTAAACTTAGTAGCGAAGTAATATGAAATAGTAGTACGCGACTTACCCCATTTACGCATTTGCGCTTGAGTTTCCCTTAGTAACTGTAGTTGAAGATGAGGGTGTAAGCTGATGTATATATATTTAGAGAGAGAGATTGAAGCATAGATAAACAATAGTATGTAAAGCTTGCATTCACACACACATACACAAAAAACACATATATGTATGCATACCTTGTATAACAAAACATGAAACATATATCATATATGTCATTGAGTTGTCGAGAAGTTAGGGGTAACAACGAATAGGGGCTCAATCTCGGTGATGCTAAGAATTCTCAAGTTTGTCACCAAACAACTCTCAAAATGTTCCAAACTATTTGACAGCGCTCAAAAGAAGAAAGCAGCAGGAACACTTATCATAGAACATGCTTTTTGGGGGAACAACCTTTTAGCACCACATCTTGAAGCAGAAGCTCCTTCGGGTGCAGCTTCACATGCACCTCTTGCCCCCGGTCCATCCAATTTGAATTCCATCTCTTCACAAGCTCCTAGTAGCGTTCTTGCTCCTAGTAGTAAGGCCAGGAGCTCCTAGTAGCGATGCCCTTTGCTCCAAGTAGCGTCCTTTGACCCCGAAATCCCTCCATCGCTCAGGGAACCGTCCGAGTCCATGATGGGCAAGCGCGGAGGGATGGTCGAGGTGCGGTCGACCGATCACGGGTCCCCGCAGTGGTCGGATGAGTCAGAGGATGTCGGGGCGAAACAGTATGGACATGTATAAGACTGCCACTCACTCCTAAAGAAGCGGCATGAATCCGGCACAAAGGTCGAGGGTATCCTGAATGTATGTTCATGCATGTGCAGAGATGCATGATGATTTAACAAAGGGTGTTGATCACAACATGTTTTCAAACCCGCCGGTTTGAACGTGGGTGAAATACATTTCATTACAGCAGCATCCTACACACTCGATTTGCTGTGTGTGTGCGCCACTCCCTGTGTCTAAGGGAGCGCATCGAACTTTCTAGCTTCGACCCAATCTAGTGTACAGCGGGAATTTTTACATAAGTAGCAGGGGGCAGAGGGGCCTTTGCCAACGAAGCTCCACACAAGATGATCAGGAAAATGTACCTGCTCCTGACCGCACCTGGGCATCTAAGTGCAGCTGGTGGGTCTCACGCTGTTGGTCCCTGTTTCAGCCTTTGCAGCGGTTTCTCTTGTGTTGAAACTTGACCGCGGACTCATTCACCTTTCCGTGTCTTCAGCCAAGGTCTAACTGCACTAAAGGTCTAATTGCAGTACATTTTAAAGTGTAAACTCACTAACCGACTCTATGCTCTTGCGAACCCTTTATCTAAGTGTCCAGAAAGTTTCAGTAATGTTGTTTGACTTCGGAGAGCTGGTTCCAAGAACGCTTGTATATAATTGTTGTTTTGGAAATTGACCAAGCTAGTGCTGCTAGTGCAGCGAGTTCCCAAGGGTTCAGCTGATAGTTTCAAGCAAGGCTTCGTGGAACCTGCTCACTTTCGTGTTGCCCTCTACCAGAGTTCAAACAAAATCGTTGACAAAAAGCATAAAAGATCCCCAAAACCATCCAAAACCCCTTGAGTGAACCAGGTATTTGTATTTAATTAGCAGCTAGCATAGCCAACCAGCCTTTCCCTTTCTTTTGTCTCAAAAGATCAGATCTGACTCACATGGCACCGTGGCAAGCCTGTCGCCTGCAGAACTGGGCACGGCGCACGAAACCGAGCTGCCTGGGAGTTCCCATCGGCCGTGAGCGAGCGCGTTGGTCAGGTGGGCTGGACCTTCTTCCGCGAGGCCGCGGCCGCCAAGGCGAGTGATCCGATATTTTTGCCGAAGGAGAGTGAATATAATTCTTACGTAGTGAGGTGGGTTTATCCTTGTTTGTGGAGGTCGCAGAGGGGTTTGGGGATGGTTTGGGGAGTTTGGGGGGTCAAGATCGAGGCTTCAGTGTCCAAGGTGGCCACTATATCTGTAGGTCTCAATTTCAGTGCCGGAATGCCGGAATCCCACAACAAAAGATTGAAATATAAATAAATAAATATACCCTCGAAGTCCAAAGACCGTTCTAAATACTGTCGAGGTACAGCCCCCGTTGTTTGGTCAAAACCCGTTTTTTTGCTATGTTACATATCTTCACCAAATTGGTGTTTGTTTCCACAGCAAGAATAACTCTCACGAACGTTAAAGTCACGCTCAAGACGTCATGTATTTTTTTCTGCGACTCCACTCTCAAAGCTTCATGTGCCGCTTGCCCATGCGTTGGGCTTTGGAGTTCAGCCTGCACAGTGCGCTTGTAGCCCACACAAAAGGCACTTGTTTAAACCTCCTCCTACAAGTTGAAGTGCTTAAACAAAAATGTGCAAAATTCTGCAAAAGAGCTGTGTCATGCTCGCTTTCATAGAAAGTAGTCTCATTTTGGTCAAGAAGATGACGTGAGCTGCTCGATGATTTGGGTGCGCCCTCTTGACTGCGCCTTTGAAAATGGGGGGTGACAACAAACTAAGGAACTATGATAATTTCTGACAAGAAAATAAATAACCCAAAAATACCACAAACACAAACAATAGCCCTGGCACCCTTCAACCATCCCATCCCATCTTCATCCTGAAAACAGTGTTGAAAGCGACCATTGCGTTTGTGCCGTCGAGCTTGTTGTGCAAGGTGTAGTATCATCTCAGATGTAAATCATGAAACATTGAATGGACACATGTTGAAACATATCACCTACATCAGTGTTGCATTTAGCAGCATATCGATATAAACAAAAATGTTTACCAAACAGCCAGAGGTTCGTGCAGCTTCGGACGAACACGGCAAATGTCTTTGCCAATCCTAAACGGGAGGATGAATTGTATGTATAATGATGCTATTTGTACATGTGCATGCATGCATGCATGCATTTGTATTTATCAATGTATGCACTATATAATTGTGTTTCACCACATATCATTGCTATTGTCCTTGTTTTGGCAGGTCCACTCTGTCCTGATTGCACTCTTAGCCAAAGAAAGGTACCGCTGGCAAAACTTCATGGTTGTTTGAAACAAATCCTCTTTCTCCGTGTTGGTGTAGAACCGCTGCCCTCGCTCTTGAAGACCATAGAACCGAGCCAGTGCAGTCCTTAGGAAAAAACAGGCCAGAACCCGAAGGAAGGTCAATGTCGGGGTCCTAGCCAACATCAAAGCATCCAAAATTATACGTACATGTGCATTTCAAAAAATCTTTAATGAATGCATGCGTGACACACATGAGCTGACAACAGGCAGCTCATTGTGCGGATCAGGGTACTGGTTCGGTTGCTGGGCAGCCTCTGCCAGGCTACGTTGAAGCCATTCAGTTATAACTCGTCCGTTCCATGCTTTGGTTGTAAACACCATCGAGCCGTCTTTCTTCCAAATCTTAGTCGCCCAGAAAGCCACAAACACAATACAGCATGTTGTCTATATATAAGCTTTGTTAGAAAACCATCTCAAAACATGAACTTATTTCATATAAGCCGCCATCCTTGTGCGAAATGGTGGCTGCGAGCACGACAATTTTTCTGATCTCAGCCACGCTTTGAAGCGGGTGTAAGCTTCGTTGAGCTGGGTCTGGAGCACGTCTTCACCACCAACACCATGCCCAAAGTAATTGATTCTCAATAGACAGGTCCTGGTATGTGCATCTAAATGCTAGCCTGCATAATTCTGGAGTAATAAACAACCAAACCTTAAAAGTACACACACACATAAATTTCATAAACTGTTGGCCAAGGAACATCCCCGCAGCGTTCACGTCAAACCCCAATCCAAGATTGACCACGTGCATAGAACATATGCGCAGAAGTGAGGGGTGGAAGCCCTTGCACAATATCAATGGGCCTTAAACCGGATATTGTTGCAACATGCAACAATTGTACAACATATATTATATATGTTCAAAAACAAACGCTCACAAAGGAGCAATATTAATTGTATGACGTGGCGCACGGCCTCCGTCTGTGCGCAAGCTCAGCGTTGATGAAGTCTAGGAGACTGTACTCGTTCCAGTTTGGGTCTTCACTCCAGCAATTGTAAAACAGGCGTGAACTGTCGCGGCATTGTCCTTTGGCATCGCAGAGAAAACGTAGTTGATCCAACCGCTGCCATGAAGATTTCAGACACATCATGTATTTGAACCAGCTCCAATCGCCACGAACCTCCGTTAGGCAAAATTTGTGCCCGTTTGCGAGTGTTGCATCCCCGTCGAACAGGAGATTGAGGCTGTACACGATGCGGTATAGGATGCAGTCTAGTGTATCGTTGCCCCAACACATATTCTCCTCCAAGGAAAATATCGCAAACCTGCTACATCGATTTGATGCTGGACGCCAAAGTGGATAGGATATGAACAATCCAATCACCTTCAGAGGTGGCTGTCTGTTGTATATGGTCGCCCCATCACCATACAATGCTATTGGAATATGGGAATCTCCAGCTGGGCTTTCCATTGCCCACGGCTCTCCGTTTCTGCGAGATTCTTGCCAAAATGATCGAACAAGATCCATATCAATTGCCATTCCAGCGGCCGTGAAAAGATAGTGGGTCAGCTGGTGCGGATCTATCATGGGCAGTCTGGTCCATCGACGTTCTTTGTCACATTTCACCGGTGCTTCCACAAAAGTTTCCTCCTGCATAGCACTACCCTCAAATGCAACACTTTAAAATAGTTCCAAATGAATACAGATCATGTTCAGGGGAATATATAAAAATATAAAAATAGGCTGAACTCAATTCAAAATTCTAGCTCGATCTTGGCCGTTCGTTTGAAATCACGGGCTTCATTCCCATGGCCAGGAGTAGTTCTGCCCAACCGCAAGCTATCAGGATGGCAAAAACCCCTGCTCTCCTGAGAAAGAAGACTCGTGACAATGTACACCTAACATGTGCATGCATGTGGTGTTTGCTGCTGGGGAACCTTGACATGGGCACGTGCACTCTTGAGCGCAGCGTTCAAGCTGGAAACCTTATCCCATCCATGTTCACAGCTGACATGTCGATCACAAGTTGCGCGCTGTACAAACAATGTTTCAGCTTACCAAGCCACTCCACGGTGGATGTCATCCAGCAAGTTGTTGAAGAAAAATGGCTGAGCATCTTCACAAGCATTGGCACCTGCGCCATAGTCGTGTGGTACACTAGTCTGTATAATGCATGAGCTCGTGGCTCACGCACTGACACAGGCCACTCTTTGAGCAAACAGTCAAGCACGCTGCAGACGTTTCTTCATCGCACGAGCCCTGGTTGCTACAGCTCATGCACGCAACAAGTCTCAGCTAATCCATCGAGCCATTGCTTTCAGGACCAAGCACGACACCCGCCACAGGCCGAACACAGTGGTAGTATCTTACAACCAATGTTCACATGCACCAATCTTCAGAACACAGATTATGCATCACACGTGCTTGCTTTACCTGACAATGGCGAATCCCCCCAGAGCAGGTTTGCCAGTCAAAATGTTCTATAACCAGCCCTGCAGATTTAGACCAACTTTTCAAATTGAGCGCCGCAAGAAACCTCCCAAGATGAGCTAAGTAAAGGCCTTGTCATATGGAACTTGGGCGTAAGCAAAAACCTGAAAAGCGTAAGGTTGCGTAAGGGAGTTGTGAGACATGCATGTTGCGTAAGCTTGCCATATGGTTGTGTTTTCATTAGTAGGTTCTTAGCACACACCTCGTCAAGAAAGGAATTGCATGGACTATGAGAGCTTTGAAACCCTTGGGAACAGACATTTGTGTGCACAGTGTTTTAGGTAAGTGGCAAAGGAAGAACTTTCCCCACCATTCTTGGTTCAGAATTGGGAAGTTCAGCTGTGAGTTTGTTGTGGCCCAAGCAGTCAAAGACTCAAAGAGATCTAGCAGCTAGCATGCCTGCGCCAAGTGGACTACCTAAGCGGTGTCATGTTACCACCTGCAGTGGAACAATGTGTGCTCCAGCAAAGCATGCAAAGCACGGCTTGTGGATTAGCAGCTGTGAATCTTGTTTTTGTCCAAGTACCTATTTTGCTTTGATCATTTCTTGCAATGCCTTGAGTTCAGATAGCTCTTGGTTGTCTCCTTTAGAGGCCTAAGTGACCATGATTGCATCCAGGATGGTTACTTTGTGAATGGCAGGCAGCGTAGCAGTCACCATTGTGCCGTGTATGATGGCTACAAGTGGGTCAACACGACACAGGTCCAGAAGTTTGTCAAGGCCCTTTCAAAGGACCAGCTAGCTCTTGCGTCGAAGGTTGGAGTTGGAAGATCTGTGTTCAACCGAGCATGTTTCAATGAAACTACCATAGGCAAACTGTACCACAGGAGTTTGTAGGCTTGCTCTCCTGAAAGGTGGGCGACGATGAAGGAAAACCTGTCGAGACAGATGGTGAAGCTAAAGGTGTGGGTATGGACATTCCAGAGAACAAGCTCTTGGCAGAACTGGCCCCTCCAGCTCTGGAGGTTGAGGAAGTTGAGGATAGCACTTTGGCCGCTTTGACTGCTCCAGAGGGACTTTTGAAGACCGATGGCAGCGACCTGGCTACTACAGAACATTTTTATTTGTAGGTTATATAGGGGTCGGCTTTTGGCTATTTGTAGGGCCTTTGGTGTTGCTAGCTGCTCTCTTGCAATTTTCCTAGCTACTTGGTGTTGCTTGGCCCTGGTAGGTGGAGACACGAACCAGAGATCAGTCACAGAGAGGCCTTTGAGCATCAGCGAAGCTGCCGTGCCGGACATCGCAAAGACAGTGGAAACCCAGAAGGTTGCCAATGGTAAGCCCTCGTGCTCAGATGCCTCAAGACCTTTGACAGCTCAT